AGTACCACTGATAGTACCGTTCAAGATATTTCTCCAAGAACTCTGGAGAAAAAACATACATTGGGATCAACCCCTCGACAATCAATTGATTGAAACCTGGAACAATCTTGTGGTAAAACGCCCAACTCATATCAAGGAAATCCCGCGATTCACAATCGATTTATCACAACAAATTACCTTTCATGTTTTCACCGATGCATCTACAGTGGCATATGCTGCAGTAGTATACGCCCATCAAAATACGCATACGTCGTTACTCTTTGCTAAATCACGATTAGCACCTATTAAAGGAATGACGATACCAAAGCTAGAATTACTAGCTATTCTCATCGGTGTACGCGCAGCTCAGTTTGTCATCAAACAAATGCAATTAGAAAATCCAAAGGTAGTGGTATGGTCGGACTCTCGCTGTGCACTACATTGGATACAAAACAACTCTCGCCTCCTACCAAAATTTATACAGAATCGTGTGGAAGAAATACAAATGGCGAAATTCGCATATCGGTATATCCCAAGCGAACACAATCCAGCAGACATTGCTACCAGAGGAACCATTCCGACTCGTCTAATAAGTTACGAGCCTTGGTGGAGCGGGCCCACATGGATCAATGGTAATGAACCGAATTGGCCTCATTGGGAATACGACGTTCCACAAGAAGAGGATAACGAAGAAGATAAGAATATAGTAGCAACAACAACCACAGAAGAAATCATCAATACAAATCGAATCAATCTCCTGGAGGCAAAACGATTCAGTAAATGGACAAAGATGATAAGAACAACAGTAAGAGTACTAAAATTTCTCAAAAAATTATCTAAAGGAAAATTAACCTGGTTAAGCAGCGTATCAGAAAGGAATCCGATTACACCCGAGGATTACAATCTCGCGGCGGAACTACTAATAAAACAATCCCAATCGGAAGGTATAACAGCAGAAGAAGTGGAAAAGTACAATCTGCACTATGCAGACAGGTACTGGAGATTCCAGAGCAGACTACAATTGCCGAACGACAGGGAATACTCATCCCAAACAATATATCTCCCCAGACACAATCGAATGACAGAACTAATTATTCAACACCACCACGAAACGACGCATCATGGAGGTATTCCTCAAACTATTTCCAGAATAAGAAAGCTTTACTGGATTCCGAAAGGAAGGGCTGAAGTCAAGAAGGTGTTAAACCGCTGTATGAGTTGCAAACGCTGGAAAGCCAAGCCATTCAAATTGCCACCTATGCCAAATTATCCGCAAGAGCGGATCACTGAATCAAGAACGTTTGGATGAATTGGCCTCGACTATTTGGGGCCGATTACTGTGAAGATACAATTGGAAAAAGCAAAGCGATGGATCGCCTTGTTCACATGCTTCACCACCAGAGCGGTACATTTGGAAATGGTGGACGATCTATCAGCGGAAAGTTTCCTAACTGCATTAAGAAGATTTGTTGCGCGACGCGGCTATCCCGAACTCATTCTTTCGGACAATGCCACCCAATTTCAGGCAGTTTTTCAAGCCATAAAAACGCAAGAATCACAACTCTCTAATTTCCTTGCTGAGAAAGGAATCAAATGTAAGACTATAACACCGAGAGCACCATGGAGCGGCGGAATCTACGAAAGATTAATCGGCCTAACAAAAGGAGTTTAAGAAGAGCTATCGGCAGACGACTGCTTAAGGAAGGGAACTAATCACACTGATTATCGAAGTGGAAAGCATTCTTAATACTCGCCCTTAACTTAGTAAATTTCGACGACTCAATTATTTTGCGACCAATAGACTTTATCATTCCCAATGCTTCTTTGTCTATACTGAATAGCAATAACGACAGAGAAGACGAATTCTCACCTTATAGTCTAACCACACAAGAAAGTTACTTCAACACTGGTCGAATACCCTAGAAACATTGAAAACATTTTGGGAGATATGGAAAGACGAATACTTGAATAGCTTAAAGGATCGATACCAATTAGAACATAAATCTCCAAGAAATGTAGAAAAGAGACGGCCGATAGAAGGAGAAGTGGTACTGTTAGATGAGCCTCATGCACCACGTGGTACATGGAAACTAGCAAGGATAAAGAAATTAAACGTAGCCAATGATGGGTACGTCAGGAGCGCTCAGATCGAAACATCGTCAGGAAAACTTCTAAATCGACCTGTAAGCACGTTGTATCCACTTGAAGTTACTCCAGAAGAACAGTCTACTCCGGAGAACCCGCGAACCCATCAGAGAGAGCAGAACCAATTATCCAAAACCGAAACACCACAACTAACACGAAGATTTCGAGTGAAAGTGGTGAGGAGCAACCTATTGCTCATCGAACACGGAGCCAGACAAATTTACAAAAAAGGAGAAGTCAAATTTCGTTTTAACCAACTTACTGCTAACAGTAGCAATATCGATAATTCTACAAGCAGCAGAAACGAAGGAATGCAAATGGACATCAGGTGTTGAGAATCACAATGTTTTATCCTATAAACCCCAAATCTATCCATTAGAACACTTTTCGCTCTTCCTCGGGAGTGTCGAGAACAAGCTCGAAATTCCACTAGAAATAATCTTTGTACCGAACAATCGAATTTAGCAAAGGTCAAATTTAAATCAATGTATTTATATTTAAGCAAATCATGTTAATCATTTATTGTAAGTTTTATTGTAAGTCAAATTCCTTAATGACTCATAGATGGTAATGTGTTAACAAATTCCCTTGCTAATCTGTCATATTATCTAATGCACATCTGCTCCAATCCTTTGTTTGTTATCTAATTCCGTTTACAAAAACTATCTATCCCATAGCCTTCCTCCTAGCTTCCATTGTTTCAATCGCTTTATCTCTCCACCCTCAAATCATCCTATATGGGCAATTACCACTCAACCGCAGTTTATCCTTCCCAGCATTGTTACCAGTCTCCCCGTTGCTTAGCTCATCCTCGTCACTAAATTGTCATACTACTGATTGCTTGTTTGTTTTAATTACCCAAGATAAAGCACTCGACTCAATTGTGCAAGTAAACCAACCCAATTCAATCCATTCACAACACCAATCCAATCAATACATTCACAACAGTTGTATATGTCTGAGTTTTATACATCCATGAATTCTGAATTACTGTTGTATATCTGATTGTCATATACCCATGAATTGTGAATCATAGTTGATTATGCCTGAATATCATACACCCATGAATTGCATCACTGTTGTATATGTTTAGAATATCTTATATCCATGAATTGTCAACTACAGTTGTATATGTCTGAGTGTCGTACATCCATAAAATGTGACATCGCGAAGCACTAAATAAATGTTAACAGTGTTTAATATAGCACCCCTTTGATATTTTTTACAATTCATCGTAATAGTCAACTGACCTTTGACCTCATATCAATTCCTATACTATGAGCATTTATCATTTAATGCCTATTGCAATCCATTATTGTGGCTGGCCCATTATAATGTCCATACAGCCCATTGCACTTTCCTTTGTGATATCCATTGTGAAACCTATTGTTAAATTAAGTCATCATCATGTTTAGGCAATTTATCCTTTGTACAAAAATATATATATATATATATACAGAAATAAATTATTTTTAGTGGTAAATAAATAATTTTAAATTACTTTCGAAATTGATTCCGTTACAAAATTAATTTCGGAGTATTTCTATTTGACTCTAAATCTAATAAAAAATCCCGAAAAAGTTAAAGTTTAATTTCAGAATAGTTACATGAAAAAGATTTCAGATTCCAAAATCCACTTGTTTATTTTTTAAATCGGAAATAAGTTGTAATGCAAGCAAGTCTCACGAGGAAGCGATAAAAGAACCTAACTGAAAACAATTTAAAATTGACTATCAACTCAAATTCACTTTAAAACATGTTGAAAGAATATTCATTGAAAACCCGTTATCTTCAAAACTGCTTTGATGATAAATTGGAAATTTAACATGTTTGAAAATAAAAAATGCTACTTATTTTTTTCGTATTTTTTAAGAAAAGATAAGGGAAACAGAGTTATTTAATAAATGTGTAAAATTACTAGGTGATGAAGCTAAATGAATTTCGATCACTTAAAATAATTACTGAATGCACTTTTAGTCTTTAATCTTTAATCACTTCAACTTAGTTTGAAATCAAACTTTAAAACTTCTGCCACAATAATTATATCTGATTCCTACTTCATTGCCTCTTTTCATCTGTTTGAAAAATTTATGAATTTGTATTTTTTCAAAATAATTGGATTGATAAAAGAAAGTAGCAATTATGTTTTTTAAGACAATGGCGGGAGCAAATTTTCGTCTTAAAACTGTGACGACAAAGCAATTAACGTAATGATTTTTGAAGGAATTAATAATCCTCTTTGATAACTATTCTTTTTCATGAGTGTTCTTCGTCCTTGCTGAACAGTTCCTGCAATCAGGTTAACAAATCAGAAAACAAATTCGACAACATTTAAAAATTACTTCGTTTTTACCTTTTGTCTCACTTATTTTCTAGTTGTTTTCAAAATCTCGCGTTTATCCAAACGAGAGAATCATTATTTTGATTTTCTGAAAATCCTCTCATATTTTTGCATGCATGCACAGTCCCACTAAGATAGTTAAAAGCTATAATAGTTAAGTAAAGAAGATGAAAATTTTAAGAAAAGTATTTTAAAATATTTAAGTATTTTCTCAAAATTTTGTCTCTTTTCTCGCTTATATGAGAAATTATTCGTCCAGAAATTTGTATGAATTTAAAATATAGGTAAGCGAAATTTCAAAACTTAATATGAAAAGGCTATAAATGCAAAACTAAAATATACGGTGACCTTAAAAATTGCCACTATTTTTAAAAGTCTCCGAAACTGAAAGTCTATGATAATATCATTCAAAAACAACCATCATCTATGAAGTTGGCGCAAAAAGAACTAAATAATTATTACCATGTTACATCAATATCAATCAAGCCTTTATGAATCATATTTCTCCCATTTAAATTTAGTTTTTATTTTTCAATTAAGAAATAATTACTGTAATAGCAGAATTTGCTGTAGTGATACCGATTACAACATATGCAAATATTACTTCTTGCAACACAGAAAGCATCAACTTCACTACTAGAGCTATACCTATTGAATCCATTAGCCAGATAATATTTGTGCTTAATTTATTGAAGCAACCTTGTTGGTGCATTCTAAAAAAATGAAATATTATCAGGGCAATAAGTTCTTTCGATACAATCTTAGTTTTCGAGATTTTTTATTATTGCCTTTAATTATTGCCATGTTTTATATATATCAAAGGAGAAGTGTTCTGCACAGCAAATCTACATAGTTCTGTCATATTACCCATCTACGGTTTTGATCATTTGTTCGAGGAAGCTTGCTTCCTCTAGTTACATAAATAGCGAATGAAAAACTAATTTCTCATCCAAATCAGCTTTGCAATTTATTTCAGGCCTTTAGTCACAATAGTGAAATTATGAAAAAATATAAGTCCAGAAGAGCAAACTTTTCTTTGGAGCAATGCCTTTTGGTGTTCGAGCAACAAGACAAAGGAGCTGAATTCATTTTTTCTTCATCATTTTGTGATTTCCAAATATCACCCTGATCTAGCATTATTTTCAATTCATCCTCGATCTGCAATTTGCAAATTGTTGATACTTGCAACAACTTCAACACATGATTCAAAGATCGTCTATCTAGTTTCAGAGTAGTTCTCTCTACGATCATTTTACCGGATCATAATAGTGAATTATTTTTTTCTGCATCCACTCCGTGTGATTTCCAGCAAAACCACAACACTGCATCCTTCTTTGAATATCATCTATCGTATGCATAAACTTTTGCAGATCATCATCTTTTAATAACGTTCCTATGCCAGCGATTAACGTTGATGACACCTCGGACGAATTTAAACCTATTGCTACTGTAATTGTAATAATCATTTAATATTTTAACTATTATCAACAATACAACAATTATATAATCCATCTCGTCATCAGTACTACGAATTTAATTTAGTTAATAAATAATAATTTGCCAATTTAGGTAAATTTATTGATTGCTGTAATTTTTGATTTTTAACATACTTTTAACTTGTATTATTATAATTTATTGTATTAAGCGATCAGCTTTGAGAATGGGTTTTAAAGAGAAGTGCACAAATGAAAGGGCCTGCATTTGACAACTTCAGTCTGAGCATGCAAAAAGGTCAACACAGTTTTTCAGGAAGATATAGGGAGAAACAATTATTGTGTAGGAGAATGATGGGAAAGGTCAATGTAGAATGCATAATATGAATGATGGAAAAGTCAATGTAGAATGCATAATATACATTGCTGAAAAATTGTGACATCAAGTGGCAACAAAGCTCGCGATATGATGGCTTCAAATTAGAAAGATGTGGAACAGATACTTTTACTGGTGGAAAATTGTGAATTAACTAACGTGATGCAGATACGTACGTCAACAAAAAAATAGCAAAATCTTTTTACGTAAGGATTGTCTTCTGTATTATCATTTTGAGGTGGATTGTTAATAGAACAACACAAAATCTTCAATCAAAAACAAGAATTTCGAATTTAATTGAGGATTAATCCAATTAATGTAAATTTCTGTTCATTATATAATTACTCACCGAAGTAAGTAAAACAGCAGGGAGAAAGCGAAGTCCACAGCTATTGATACGCCACAGAAAGCATATTCCTTCTTGATAAAAGTTAGAAATAATATAAGTTGTACTGAGATTAGAATTATTTCCATTCCGCAAAGCACGTAAGTGAAAGAACCAAGGCACTTTATCAACTGAAAATTACGCAATTTTCGAAATATCATATACATTTAAACGTTGTAAAAAGCATGACAGATATTATTGCGAGCATTGGAAGTAAGTCGAGCACTGGACAATGAAATAAATGAATGGGATAAAACTATAGGTAGATGGATTGATAGATACTTTCTAATAATGATACGTCCGGGATAGGCAGGGATGTAAATATCATTTTTTATATTTTTTGCTTAGAGAAGCTGCTTCAAATCATACAATTTGAGCACTGAATGTGGGCTCTGCAACAGTATAAATTTGATTTGCAGGTTGTACATAATTGATAGCAAAATTCAGTGATATAAGTATAACTGCTATGCATCTAAAATGGGCTTTTTTATTAGCATTTACTAATGCTAAGATAGGAAAGCTTTTGATATTCAAATATAACTTTGCTTAGCATTCAATTTAATGTAAAAAAGCTTGCATTAAATTTATTAGTTTTCTTATCGAATTATATTTAGTGCAATGTATTGTTTCATATGCTTATGGAATGTAAAATGTGACATACACATAACTATTGCAGATATTCATGCAGATTCTCAAAATGTTCCGAGGAGTACAGAGATCGGTAGGTCTTCTAATATCTTTTGGATCTTTTAAAATCTTTTAGCTTGAAGATGGATTTACTTAGAGAACTACCATTTCGTTTTGCAGTAGATTTTAACTCATAAAGTGGATTCAGTTACCAAACTTTTTAAAAACAAACGTTAATATGCGACAAGTAATTGTAAAGAATATTGTAAAACGAAACAGTTTGCTTGGATACTTCTCGCTTCTAAACGATTTTCTGCAATGTGTAACAAAAAGAAATTTTCTGTAACGACAAAAATGCAAGTTTAAAGAATGTTAGGGATGTAGGGAATATCATGCACGGATATATTCGAGCATCGTATCTCATTACTTATTAAGACTATTGGCTCTACAAAGCTTACTTTATTAACTGGCCGAACAATAAATTATATTACAATAGCAAGTGAATGCTGTCTTAGTATTTCTCTAATATTTATTATACTCACATTATTGTTCGATTATTCGTTATTTAGAAAGATAAAATTCAAGATGCGATTTCACTAGATTCTTCAATGAGTGGAATTTTGAAATTAGTTATGTCTGCCGGAAACTTCAGCATCCATGAGATGATATTATCATAAAATGCTAAGCTCGAATGAGGACAAATGTTTCGCATGACGAAATTGGAGCAAAATAGAAACACCTTAGCGATAAATCTTCCTCACTTCGACAAAACTTGAAGGATTTCATAATGTTCCTGTGAATGGTCATTTGTTTCTAAAATTTAGCTAATTTGCGAATCATAATATTGAAATAAATGAATTCATTTTCCAACACACGGTTCAATTTGGCAAAATAAGATAGAACAAAACTTCACGAATAAATCATATCGTATAACTTTATCAACTGTCTGAATGGTAGGTAGCAGTAAGTAATGTTTAAAAATTTCAGATTAACGAAAGCCCTGACATCTTGAAAAGTTACAGAATAATCTCAAAACTTCAAAACCGTTAACTAATTGAAGTTACTTTTAATCTACCCTTTTATTCATTCATTATTCAATAACAATTAATTTGCGCAATATCAGATGAAGATTTGATAATCTTTAAATATTGCTTTCCATGCATTAGTTTAGCCGATCTATTTAATCAACTTATTTTGATAAATGGATGGAAAAAGGAACTGAATTCTATACGACCAGAAATCATGCATTATTAGCACATGACCAAGTGTTCGCGCATCATCTAGTGACCTCGAAAGTGCTTTTATTTATAAAATTTTATAAAATGACAATTATGTTTAAAGGAATAGTTGTGTGGTGCCTACTTGGCTCTGGAAGACACTTCATATTTAATGAAGGAATTTTCATTCTTTTGTTCGAAACTAAAGCTGAAATGTAATGTTTGCAATAGAAATGAAAGTAATGCAAAAAGAAAGAGTTGGAGAAAATGTTGTAGAATTTCACTGCTAACGTGCAGTGAATCACTAACAAGTACGAAAGCCACTGCTTTAATGCTTACGGAAGAGACGATCAAAAAAGGAACTTTGTTCGCTAAAAGTGAAAGAAATTAAGTGGAAGCAACCTCTCAAATGTGGAACACAACTGAAATAAATTTTCGAAAATCGAATTGTAGTAATATGCACAGATTTTACATAAATATCTTTTAGCATATATGTAAATAAAAAAGATTTCAAGTATATACCACACGACAATATAAATAATAATCGTAGACAGAGGAAAATGGATAAACCAGAACAAAGTCATAAATAGCAAAAGAGTGCCCAATATCGAAAAACTCAATAACTACAAGAAAAATAGAAAACCGAAGTGTAATATATAAGCAAAAAGAAGTTAAATAACAGAAATCCACTTTTTATTGCATGTTAACGATATTCACTTAGTTTACACGGTGCAGTGAATTTCATTTTCAAAGTTTATTTACAGTGACTACGAAAAACAATTTGAGAACGCCACTGATAAATAATTGCGAAGTGAGAGATCACAGAAGTTCAAATTGTTGTTATAGATAACGGCTCTAAACCGTTCTTGACGCGAAAAAACACAAAAATTCTTTTTTAAAAAAAAACTACTTTTTAATTGGAAAAATAATGGAAATTGGAATATCTGCAATAGTATTGCTGATAAGAAATGAATTGCTGATCGGAATACATGGAATATCTTACTGCGATACGATGGTTCTAGTTAACGAAGATTTCTTTGAACGCCGATGTTTATTTGAGCTACAAACTTTTAAATTTAATTTTTAAATTTTTAAATTTAAAATTTTAAAATCAAAATTTAATTATAATCTGATTATAACTGAATTATAATCTGAGTATAACAGAATTATAATCTGTGCATAACAGAATATAATCTGAGCATAACAGAAATATAATCTAAGTATAACAGAACTATAATTTGAGTATTACAGAATTATAATCTGAGTATGAGCTTAACTGAATTATAATCTGAGTATAACAGAACAATAATCTGAGTATAACAGAATTATAATCTGAGTATAACAGAATTATAATCTGAGTAGAATAGAATTATAATCTAAGTATAACCGAATATAATCTGAGTATAACAGAATTATAATCTGAGTATGAGCATAACTGAATTATAATCTGAATATAACAGAATCATAATCTGAGTATAAGAGAATCATAATGAAGTATAACAGATTTATAATCTGAGTATAATTGACTATAACAGAATTATAATCTGAGTAAACAGAATTATAATCCAAATATAACAAATTATAATCTGAGTATAACAGAATTATAATCTGAGCTAACAGAATTATAATCTGAGTATAACAGAATTACAATCAGAGTATAACAGAATTATAATCTGAGTATAACAGATTTATAATCTGAGTATAACAGAATAATAATCTGAGTACCACAGAATTATAATCTGAGTACAACAGAATTATAATCTGAGTAGAACAGAATTATAATCTGAATATACAGAATAACAGTTTGAGTATAACAGAATTATAATCAGAGTATAACAGAATTATAATCTGAGTATAACAGAATTATAATCTGATTATGAGCATAATTGAATTATAATCTGAGTATAGCGGAATTACTCTGAGTATAAAGAAATATAATCTGAGTATAACAGAATATAATCTGAGTATAAAATTATAATCTGAGTATAATTCAGTATAACAGAATTATAATCTGAGTATAGCAGAATCATAATCTCAGTAGAATAGAATTATTATTTAAGTATAACAGAATCATAATCTGAGTATAACAGAATCATAATTAAGTATAACAGATTTATAATCTGAGCATGAGCAAAACATAATTATAGTAACAATATCACTAGAAGATATAACAGATATAGATATAACAATATCACTAGAAGACATTTTGATTACTTCATTAACTCGTACTATTTCTCTGCAGATATAACAATATCAGTAGAAGTCATTTTTATTAATTCATAAACTCATCCATTTCTCCACAGATATAGCAATATCAGTAGAAGTCATTTTCATTAATTCATTAACTCATACCATTTCTCCACAGATATAACAATATCACTAGAAAACACTTTGATTACTTCATTATCGCACCATTTCTCTGCAGATATAACAATATCAGTAGAAGTCATTTTCATTAATTCATTAACTAATACCATTTCTCCATAGATATAACAATATCACTAGAAAACACTTTGATTACTTCATTAACTCGTACCATTTCTCTGCAGATGTAACAATATCTGTAGAGGTCATTTTCATTAATTCATTAACTAATACCATTTCTCTGCAGATATAACAATATCAGTAGAAGTCATTTTCATTAATTCATTAACTCGCACCATTTCTCTGCAGATATAACAATATCAGTAGAAGTCACTTTTATTAATTCATAAACTCATCCATTTCTCCACAGATATAGCAATATCAGTAGAAGTCATTTTCATTAATTCATTAACTCATACCATTTCTCCACAGATATAACAATATCACTGGAAAACACTTTGATTACTTCATTAACTCGCACCATTTCTCTGCAGATATAACAATATCAGTAGAAGTCATTTTCATTAATTCATTAACTCATACCATTTCTCCACAGATATAACAATATCACTAGAAAACACTTTGATTACTTCATTAACTCGCACCATTTCTCTGCAGATATAACAATACCAGTAGAAGTCATTTTCATTAATTCATTAACTCATACCATTTCTCCACAGATATAACAATATCACTAGAAAACACTTTGATTACTTCATTAACTCGTACCATTTCTCTGCAGATGTAACAATATCTGTAGAGGTCATTTTCATTAATTCATTAACTAATACCATTTCTCTGCAGATATAACAATATCAGAAGAAGTCACTTTTATTAATTCATTAACTCATCCATTTCTCCACAGATATAACAATATCAGTAGAAGTCATTTTCATTAATTCATTAACTCATCCATTTCTCCACAGATATAACAATATCACTAGAAGACATTTCGATTGCTTCATTAACTCGTACCATTTCTCTGCAGATATAACAATATCAGTAGAAGTCATTTTCATTAATTCAATAACTCATCCATTTCTCCACAGATATAACAATATCACTAGAAGACATTTTGATTACTTCATTAACTCGTACCATTTCTCCACAGATATAGCAATATCACTAAAAGACATTTTGATTACTTCATTAACTCATACCATTTCTCTGCAGATATAACAATATCAGTAGAAGTCATTTTCATTAATTCACTAACTCATATCATTTCTCCACAGATATAGCAATATCAGTAGAAGTCATTCTCATTAATTTATTAACTCATACCATTTCTCCACAGACATAACAATATCAGTAGAAGTCATTTTTATTAATTCATTAACTCATCCATTTCTCCACAGATATAGCAATATCAGTAGAAGACGTTTTGATTACTTCATTAACTTGTACCATTTCTCTGCAGATATAACAATATCAGTAGAAGTCATTTTTATTAATTCATTAACTCATCCATTTCTCCACAGATATAACAGTATCAGTAGAAGTCATTTTTATTAATTCATTAACTCATCCATTTCTCCACAGATATAGCAATATCAGTAGAAGTCATTTTCATTAATTCATTAACTCATACCATTTCACCACAGATATAACAATATCAGTAGAAGTCATTTTCATTAATTCAATAACTCATCCATTTCTCCACAGATATAACAATATCACTAGAAGACATTTTGATTACTTCATTAACTCGTACCATTCCTCCACAGATATAGCAATATCTGTAGAGGTCATTTTCATTAATTCATTAACTCATACCATTTCTCCACAGATATAGCAATATCAGTAGAAGTCATTTTCATTAATTCACTAACTCATATCATTTCTCCACAGATATAGCAATATCAGTAGAAGTCATTTTCATTAATTCATTAACTCGTACCATTTCTCTGCAGATATAACAATATCAGTAGAAGTCATTTTCATTAATTCAATAACTCATCCATTTCTCCACAGATATAACAATATCACTAGAAGACATTTTGATTACTTCATTAACTCGTACCATTTCTCCACAGATATAGCAATATCTGTAGAGGTCATTTTCATTAATTCACTAACTCATATCATTTCTCCACAGATATAGCAATATCAGTAGAAGTCATTTTCATTAATTCATTAACTCATACCATTTCTCTGCAGATATAACAATATCAGTAGAAGTCATTTTCATTAATTCATTAACTCATACCATTTCACCACAGATATAACAGTATCAGTAGAAGTCATTTTCATTAATTCAATAACTCATCCATTTCTCCACAGATATAACGATATCACTAGAAGACATTTTGATTGCTTCATTAACTCGCACCATTTCTCTGCAGATATAACAATATCAGTAGAAGTCATTTTTATTAATTCATTAACTCATCCATTTCTCCACAGATATAACAGTATCAGTAGAAGTCATTTTCATTAATTCAATAACTCATCCATTTCTCCACAGATGTAACGATATCACTAGAAGACACTTTGATTACTTCATTAACTCGCACCATTTCTCTGCAGATATAACAATATCAGTAGAAGTCATTTTTATTAATTCATTAACTCATCCATTTCTCCACAGATATAACAGTATCAGTAGAAGTCATTTTCATTAATTCAATAACTCATCCATTTCTCCACAGATATAACGATATCACTAGAAGACACTTTGATTACTTCATTAACTCATACCATTTCTCTGCAGATATAACAATATCAGTAGAAGTCATTTTCATTAATTCATTAACTCATCCATTTCTCCACAGATATAACAATATCACTAGAAAACACTTTGATTAATTCATTAACTCGTACCATTTCTCTGCAGATATAACAATATCAGTAGAAGTCATTTTCATTAATTCATTAACTCATACCATTTCTCCACAGATATAACAATATCAGTAGAAGTCATTTTCATTAATTCATTAACTCATACCATTTCACCACAGATATAACAATATCACTAGAAGAGACTTTGATTACTTCATTAACTCGCACCATTTCTCTGCAGATATAACAATATCAGTAGAAGTCATTTTTATTAATTCATTAACTCATCCATTTCTCCACAGATATAACAGTATCAGTAGAAGTCATTTTCATTAATTCAATAAC